GCGGGAGCACCACCGCGCTTCCCAAGCGGCGCACTAGCACAGTGCGCCACCGGGCCGGCCCTGGGAGGAAGTTTTTATTGGAACTCAATTTACCCTGATTTCTCCCAAATCAAATATCCCCCATGGGAGTCTGTCAAGAAAAAGGAGGAAATAACACAATTTCTCACAGGCCTGGTAGCCTGCTTGGAGCTCTTAACCCCAAAATTCATTTCCACCAAATAGCAGAAATAGCACTTAGGTCTATGCTTTAAGTTTTAGAAATAAAGCAACGTAGGAGAGGTTATCCTTCCGAAGCATCTACCAACCCAAGGACAATAAAGTGCCCTGAGGGATGTTTGTTACATCCTTAACTTCGGGTAACTAACCGTAACAGGGCAGACCTTTATCTCACAGAAAGGGAAGCTATAACCCTAGAGCCCAGAAGGAAAGGGTGGTTTTAGACAAGAATTCTCTCATATCAGTATAAGAAGTCACAAATTATGTAAGTTCATGTTTCCACTGTCCAGTTCATAAACTATGGTATTCTCTACACTAAATTTCACCCTAATCAGAGCAGCAATGCACGGATTACATTTTTACTGTAATATTATTCATTCTATAAAGACTTGAGGTATACATTCATGATGAAGAACTTGGCTATTTTTAGAAACGGGAAGGAAAACCTGCAACCAGGCCCAAGGCCCCTCCCACGGGCCAGGCTGGAGTTCCAGAGACAGGAGCAGGGGACTGACCCAGCCTCCCACAACCAGGCAAAGAGCACACCAAAAACACCACTTCCCTGTGGGCAGCCCACCACAGCCACCACAATAGCCACAGCTGCTGCAAAAGCAGCTAGACGCCACAACCACTGTGCAGATGGCCCACCAGCCACCCGAGTGCATTGACTCAAGGAGAGTCACCGGTGGAGACCAAAAAAAGAAGAGGCTGTCTTTCTCCATAAAGACCATTCCAGAGTGACAAAAGTAGCATCTCCTCTACGGTAATAGTGGGGGACCTGAACACATCTCTCTCAGCACTGTACTGATGATCTAGACAACAAATGGACAGAGTAACCATTACCCTTTCAGAAGGAGAGAAGAAACCTAGGGTTATCAGAGGTGGGAGGGGGAGGGAGAGGCAGATGGAGGGAAATTAGATAAGAGGCCTGAAGGGTGAGTACGTAATAATGTATATACTAATAATATTGATTTGATCAACGTAGTCAATGTTGAACCCCAACAGGAAAGTATTTTCCTGTTTCTAAAAATAGCCAAGTGCTTTATATAATCAATTATGATTAAAAAAAAAAAAAGAGTGAGAGAAAAAATAATAAAGGAAGGAACACATAGCAAAAATCAAAATCACAATAACAAAGAGAGGTTGTATCGAGGTGGTATAACTATAGATAATAAAAATTTTTTTCTCGGGGCCGGCCCGGTGGCGCACTGCTACAGTGCACCGCTTGGGAGCGTGGTGGCGCTCCCGCCAAGGGTTCGGATTAAAAATATCCAAGGTTCCCACTCACTGGCTGAGCGAGGTGTGGGAGCAACACTGAGGGTTGCGATCCCGTTGCCGGTCCTGGTCCGGTACGGGCACAACACTGAGGGTTGCGATCCGTTGCCGGACACGAAAAAAAGACAAAAAAAAAAATTTTTCTTCTGCGCTCCCATCTGAGTTTCTCAAATTTTATGCAGTGAACATATGTGTTATTAGAAAGAAGAAAACAAAGCAAAACAAATAAATGCCAGTTTTTAATGTGACCATCCATGGGGTCTTCCTTTCTAGTAGCCCTGAAGCCAAATGATTGGTTTCTCGGAGACACCTTCCTAACCCAGCACACACATATTTGCCTTGTGGTTCCTTGCAGATTTTGATCTCTAGCTTTAGAGAATCTACCAGACTTTGTCTCTGTGGACTAGGATATTTCTGCCAGTAAAACACTATGTTGAAGACTTCCTGGTTTTTATTGACTTTCATTTTCCCTAACGCGGCAAAGAAATCCAGGCAGAAATGTCTTTGCC